GCCGGAATTAGCCTCGCCGAGAATACAAGACCTATCGAACAAACGGAATTAGCCTCGTCATCTCCTCAAATCAGTTAAACTAACAACAACAGAGGAGAAAGACTTACCCGTGACCGTCGTCGCCTCGCCGGAATCGCGGAGGTGTGTTAGGCGGAGAAGATGATGCGTGAAAAACAAAACCCGACTGCAAATATCTTATAAAACTTTGTTCTCTGTTATTTTTTTTTTTAGGTTTTGCAGTGGCAATTTTGTTAATAAAAATTCTTACTAAGGTTAATTAGTCTTTTATGAAGTTGTGTCAAGTTTGCAGATTTGACAAAGTCATCCTAGTAATTAGCCTATTTTCCAAAGTCATTTTAGTAATTATGTATTTTTTTTTTGCCATTCATGTTTCATCTAGTTCTTGACATTTTAGTTAGCTAGGGTTGAAATTAAGAATCCTCTAGTCTTGTCGCTCTGGTTCTGCCTTGTAATAGCGTCCCTTTGCATATTTAAATTAATTAACTTTGAACCAGACCAACCATTCCAAAACGGCTGGAGAAATTACATAATTTACATTCGACTGTGCTTTGTCCATTGCTTAGAATATATTTTTGTTCCTTGTTTTCTTAATGAATTACATTATTCAAGACAAAAGGATTTATAAGTTCTCCATAAGATCTCAATATTGTTGCCTACAATATATGTAATTCAGGTTCGTGAAAGGAAAACAAAAGACATTTAGAAATTTTTTTGGAGCTAAACAAATATTAGGATAAAAATTTAACTTTATATATAAATGGTTAAGTGTATGTATTATTGAGAACTATGAGAAATAATGCGATTTCCAATTTACCAAAATTTTCATTTATAATTTTACATTACTATTTTTGAACTCGTATAATTTTAGTGAAACTCTAGTTTATATAATTGCCAAATATTGATTTTATCTCAATCATAATATAAATTTGATGGTACTTGACAATCTGTTGTACATATCGTATGATGGGGTATTTCTGCTTTGATTATACGTTTACTTTTGTTATGTCAAATCATCTC